TTTCAGATTTTCTGGAGTTAGGCCGCTAAAAAAATGTTTGTACACGCGCTTTCCAGCTGTAGCCCCAACACAGAAGAATTCCTAGCTGTTGTTGTGACGCAGGGGCACCTTTTCTTTTCCCTTCTCTGAGATTAGAGGAGAATAAACTTCCTGAAAAGCCATGTCCGAAACCCAGCGGGGATGGAGGATGGAGTATGACGCGACGTTTTTGATTTGTAGGGTCGACTAGAAGTCCTGTGGCCTTTGATCATTCCAAAGATTCAGGGTACCCCGGGCACCCCTAACTCCACTGGTTTATCATGGTCCTAAATTCATGGGTGATCCGTGGGTTTCTCATCATTTTCCCCCACATATCACTTGCCAAAAAAGGGGGTTCATCCCCCATTCGGAGACACCCCAGATGTTCACCTCTCGAGGTTCAGTAACCTTCAGCAATTGCAACGCAGTGAGCACAGAAGGCCTGCCACTTTTGATGAAACCTCCAGTAATCTTTGAGAACGGGAAATCTCTCATTGACATCGTTTACGTCCATTGATCTCATGGGTATCTGATGATTTTCCTCATAGAAAACGGGGAAGCCATCACAGTTGACCTGTGGACCATGTCTTTTGGATGAAGATCCAATAGAAACCCTGGGGGAAACATAGAAAAAGAGGTAGACAACATCCATGGTTTCCCGCGGAAAATGATCGAAATAGTGGGTTCTCCATAGCCATAGCCATAGCCGAGACAAACTTTTTTAACAGTTTTGCTTCCGGGGTTGGAATAAAAACCCATTTCCGGTATAGCAACTTCCAAAAAGATAGAACCATATTTTGTCGCTAATTTTTAGTAGAATTTTTACTTGGCTATCTTGGGCTTTTTGGGGGTTACAAGATTTGGATAAAACGGATGCCTTTTCGACTCCAGATTCAGGTTTTCTGCGCTGGCTGCTCTCGAAGGCTCGGGTGATGTTTGTTGCTCAGGTTGTTTCTGTTGGTTTATCAACCCCAAGGATACTATAACTATATATATATAAATACACATATCACAGCGTTATTTTGATACTCTATATATATATATATCATTATTATTCTTATCATCATCATCATCATCATTATTATTATTATTATTATCATTATTATTATTATATAATTAATATTTATTAGTATTACTATTGTATTAGTTATATTCCCCAGAAACCATTGTTTGGGGCTGAGCATCCTTTTTTTCGCAACCCCCAGTCATAGACAATGATAGGCAAGTTGAACACCCTGGAAGCACTTTTCGGCATCTTTTTTCTGGTTGCTGGGTTGAACTGACCCGTCCCCGGATTTTTAGATGGGACTTTTTGATGACCATTATTGATGTGGAAGGCTCGCACGGGAAAAAAACCACAGTGTCGAAAGTATGTTTAGCCAAGGATGCATCTTTTTGGCCAAAGATGCATCTTCATGCAGGCCAAAATCACTGTCCATTGACTTGGAAAACATCAGCCCATGTGTTCGTTGCCCCATCAATGACCATTGGGCCATTGATAAGCTACACAGGGCTCTAATCCGCCGATATTCACAGGGCTCTATTCTAGCCACATTCACACATATTCACACTATATACCCCTTGTCAAGCTTTCCAAGCAAGCTTCGGCGTGTCACCACTCTGGATTTGTCCTGCCAGTCCCCTTTGGGGAATTCCTGTCAGCGCAGGCGGGCACGGTGCTGTGTTTCGCCTTGCAACGCAGTGACGAAGGGAAGTCCCTGGGATGGGGTTCCTGTACCTTTGAACCTCAGCTCAGCATGCGGAAAAAGCCGAGCTGTTTGTTGAAGGACCGAGTGACGATGTGGATGTGGATGATATGCTGATTGAAATCCATGATCTTTTTCGATACATTTGAGGCAAAAGAATGAACTTTACAAAGTCCAGCCATTCCCTGCGATATCCCAAGGATAGCAAGGATGCTGCTGAACGAGCCGTTCAGCGTTTTGATGGCGCCTGGGTGGATAACCGACAGATCAAATTGGAGGTGGAAGCCTAGTTGCACTTCAGTTTAGGCGTGTCTGAACCGTTGCAATCCCCCAAAACTGGTATGGGATCACCAAGATGATTCTCATTGGTTATACATGGGGCTCCATGTTAAGTGAACCTAGGCATGCCCCAGAAAAGTTGCTAGTTACCTGGTAGTTGCCACATCCTACCCTGTTTCTTCGAGTTTTTTGGGAGCAATGTGACTCTTAAGTCGCTGAGGATTTAAAGCCTCCTAAGCGACTTGGCCGCAACCCGAGGTTTTTTCCCATGTTTTTATATAGTGGTTTTTAAACATTACCATTTGGAAAATGGCGCATGAAAACAGTTCATGTACCTATTAATAGCATGGTGATTTTCCATGGCTATGTTAGTTTACCAGAGGGTAAACACCCGTTGAAATGTTGAAACTTAAATTCAAACTTCTTCTGTTTTTCTTTAAAACACATGTTTTTGGACTTCACGATTGGGGCAAGCCACATCCTTGAAATCACCTCCGTAACGGAACAGGCACCGGTGAAAGATCGCCTAGTTCTGTGGTGTATCCCTGTCCTGGTTCGCCATGATTTCAGGAAACAGCCATTGTTTTTTTATTGCTGGTGATCTTGGCTGTTAACTTTGTTTACTTTGGTATTGTTAGTTTAATAAGTTCATCCCCACGATTTGTTCGATAGCCTTTTGCCACTAAAGCTACATCTTTCTCGGACCCTGGCTTCGAAATCGCTGATTTGGCGGGTTCTTGTTCCGAACCACTGGGTTCCAGGGAACATTGTGCACGAATTCCACTGGGTTTTGCCCACGAAATCTCGGGTAAAAGCGGTCAACCCCCGTATTCCAGCTCTTAGAGGAAACTATAAACAGAAGACTTTGAGAATTTCAAGGACTCAAGGAGACTCAAGGAGACTCAAGGACTTTTCCCCAAATCCCATGGTTTTCTGTTGAATCATCATGTTCCCCATTGTTCAATTGCCAATTGGCTGTCCAGGAGCTTCCGACCCTGCGTCTTCTTCCACAATGTCTCCTGGACGACCACGGCCCACGACTTGAAGAGAAGGCTACAACAATTCGGCACCATTGAGGACGGTTCCTGTCCACGGTACCCGGGGGAACCCGGGGGAACCCGGGGGAACCCGGGGGAACTAGGGGAACTCTCCCCCAAACGAACAATATGGGTATGGATCAATACCTATTATTATCCATTTTAGTGGGATGAACATCCATTTACCATCATTTACCATCATTTACCAGCTATTTTGGGTTTCATTAGGTGTCAGGGTTTTGACCCATAGCAATCCCCAGGAGTTTGAGCTACGAGTGAAGCCCAATGGACGCTCCTTGGGCATGGGCACTTGTCGGTCACTGGGCAGCACTGAAAGCATGAGTGTTATCCACTCAGTGACTCAGATCTTTTCGGATCCTATGGATCTATATAACATGATATACCTATCATTACCTATCTAACTTGTTGTGTTGATTCTTAGTTGGCTTCTAGCATCTCCGAGCCTTGACACGAACACAAAAATGCATCGCTCCGCTGCCAGGTTTTCGTGTTCGAAGGACAGGCGCTTTGTTCTGCGGCTGAGGTTGGTTTTGCTTTGCCTCTGAAATCAGAGGGACCTTCAACAGTTTGGTTGTTTGATGTGATATCTAATATTTCTAGATTCTAGCACCATCCTGTAGAAAAAAATGTATATGAAACATTATGACACCCACAAATATACAGAACTTTTTGAACTATTGGGTCCCATGCAGATTTCATTCGCCCCATGTCCGCCATGTTTTCTTCTTCATGGGATCATTAACTCCAGTGTGTCCGGCTGTCAAACCTATTTCTCTTGGTGAAAGCCCCATTCTTGGATGGTAAATTGAATCTCCCCTATTCCAACGCAAATTCGAAGAGATTCACCAAATTCCAACCGGATTGCAAACAGATCCTAAGCGTCCCAACCAGATCCTAAGCATTCTATCCTCGTCCTCCCACTTTTCAGGAAGCCAAAGCAGCCATCAAGGGCCTGGATGGCCATATGCTGCAGGGCAGGAGGTCCAGTAGCATTTGAACTGGGCATGTCAACCATCCATCTAAATCGTAAGGATATGTGTTCTTTTTTTGAATAATAAATGACATTTTGAACATTTTTAAACTACATGATGCTTTTTTTGGGTTGAACGGTCAAACAAATTGGATGAAAATTATAATTTTTGCATCAAAAACCGGGATTCACAGAAGAACTCTGGATTTGTGGATGGATCCATACCATTCAATACCTATGGGACCTTCGAAATGAGGGGATATCCACAACAACAAGCTACTGGTGGTGCGAGAACCACGGTAGATCAACATGCAGGTTTCCGAAACTTGGGGCACCCAAAAAATCATCCATACAAATATAGGATCTTCAATTATAAACCATCCAGCTATTGGGGATTCCCCACATTTGAGGAAACTTCCCACCATGTTTTCAGATGAGTTGTGGGACAGAGCGACAGATGATAAAATGCCCAACAACTCAGCCCGCTGGGGAATCGAAAGTCATGAAATACCATGGGATGAGCATCCATGTGGCGGTTGCCATAAATGGGGAATCCCCCAAAAATGGATGGTTTATATAAGATAAAATCCTGAAAATTGGTGAAAATGTACCCCCCATTTTCAGAAACCTCCATGTGCCATCCGAGCTATTTATTGAAAAACCAAAGGGGTCCCAATTTTTTGGTTTTGTTCCACAGCCATCTTGACTGTGAGTGATGCCCATCGAACCCCGACAGGTTGTACCTCTGCAGATACGACCCGATTGGTGCTGGCCGCGTTCAGGTGATTTGGGTGCTGGTTTCAAACGTAAATTTGTATATAGTACATATATTTTACATGTGTATATATATTATATTATATACGTATTATATATAGCTTATAACATATATATATATATATACACATATCATGTCTGATTTTTCATCTCTCCACGGACTATACATATACTGTAGTGTAGATGTACCTCTGATTCACATTGGGTGTTGCTTCAAGAGACGGCTTCACAAGAGAGCAGCCACAATTAATTAAATCAAATTGAGAATCCACATCCACCCTGGAGTGATGGCGCATTTACTTCGACCCTTTTACCAATCAAATATCATGAAATTTCTATAGATTTCCATATAGTTTATTTGCTGATCCCATCATTAACCACCATGAAATCCCGCATTTGCAGGCCAGTAGACCATGGGAAAACTGTCCACCAGCACCTTGGTTGCAGTTGGACGTGAGCGAGCAGATTTTTGCTGGTTTTTTGAACGAGAATTCCAATATATGGGGGTTTCCATAAATGGGGAATCCCCAAAATGGTTGATTTATAATGGAAAATCCTGTGAACATGGATGATTTGGGGGTACCCCTAATTTAGGAAACCTCCATATAGTCCATGGATTTATAGTACTGTAGCTGGTCATGAATTATAGTGTTGGTTCATGGATTATGATAGTCCCCAATATGCTACTGTAATCCCAGAACTAATCATATAAACCGGGGGTGGTGCTATATGGGATGTTCTCGTCATGGGTCGTCATGGGATTAAGGGGGTGGGATGTCGCCCGTTCCATCGACATGGGTTAATCATCAGTTTTCCTTTTTAAAGTGGCGCCAATTGGGGTATACTGTACTCCGTTTTCAGACACACCCATACGGACACATGAATTTCATGTGACGGCTTCTATTTGGAGAAGTGAAGAGTAGTCTTGAAGCATACCCTGCTTTGTCAAAAACACCAAAGTGAAGTTGCGTTGCAAAATCAGGTAGGAACACCCGGAGAACGAGGTAGGCATTTCATGCCTGACATTTAGCGTTGTTTTCAACGAGGTCAGGCACCCAAAAAAGGTACGGGGATGGAGAACGAGGTACGAACACCCCGTGGACTATGCGAGGTACCGAATACTTTCTGCCGCTCATAAATGTAGACGTACATATATAGATACATGTAAATAAATGTAAATAATATGTATAATTGTATATACGCACATGTAGATATGAATGTAAATATGTATACATATTATGTATAAATGTATAGATACATGTGTATGCATGTATGCATGTGTACATATATATATATATGTATATCTACGTGTGTATATATCTATATATGTGTATATATCTATATATATATATGTATATATATATATATATATCTATATGTGTATATAGTATATATATCTATATATGTGTATATATATATACACGTATTCTTAAATATATATATATATGTATATATACATATCTATGTATATTTATAGATATCTATGTATATCTATGTATATCTATGTATATCTATGTATATCTATGTATATCTATGTATATCTATGTATAGCTATGTATATCTATGTATATCTATGTATATCTATGTATATCTATGTATTCTATGTATATCTATGTATATCTATGTATATCTATGTATATCTATCTATATCTATGTCTATGTATATCTATGTCTATGTATATCTACGTATATCTATGTATATCTATGTATTCTATGTATATCTATGTATATCTATGGAGCTATGTATATCTCTGTCCATCTATGTCTATCAAGGTCTATCTAGGTCTATCTAGGTCTATCTATGTCTATCTATGTCTATCTATGTCTATCTATGTCTATCTATGTCTATCTCTGTCTATCTATGTCTATCTATGTCTATCTATGTCTATCTATGTCTATCTATGTCTATCTATGTCTATCTATGTCTATCTATGTCTATCTGTGTCTTTCTGTGTCTATCTATGTCTATCTATGTCTATCTATGTCTATCTATCTCTATCTATGTCTATCTATGTCTATCTATGTCTTTCTGTGTCTATCTATGTCTATCTATGTCAATCTATGTCTATCTATCTCTATCTATGTCTATCTATGTCTATCTATGTCTATTTATGTCTATCTATGTTTATCTATGTCTATCTATGTCTATCTATGTCTATCTATGTCTATCTGTGTCTATCTGTGTCTTTCTGTGTCTTTCTATGTCTATCTATGTCAATCTATGTCTATCTATCTCTATCTATCTCTATCTATCTCTCTATCTCTCTATCTATCTATCTATCCTATCTTTTCTTATCTTATCTTATCCTATCTTATCTTATCTTATCTATCTTATCTATCTATGTATCTATGTATCTATGAATATGTATATATATATTTATATATGGTGATCGATCTAAAGGTCCTTGTAAGGAGTTTTAATTGCGAAAGCCGTGCGTGTTATGTTGGAAACCCTCGCGAAAGTTTTTTTTCGAGTTCGCGAAAGTAAAATTTTATTTCGCGAAAGTTTCGCGAAAGTTGGGTATTATAATCATTATATGTAAAGGGCTGCCACCCACTGCCGCCCGGGGTCCGGCAGGAGAAGGGCACCAGAAAATGCGAGTAGCAGTAGCCAAGTTTCCAAAAGTGAGGCTTTGCGAGAGCCAAACACCAAGGCCCCTGGTCTTCGCTTTTCCTTCAGTGCACCCCCTGCTGATGGCCGGGGTCTTTGAATAGGGATATTTTCGCGAAAGTTCCGCGAAAGTTATGCGAAAGAGCGGGTGAAAGTCAAAGTGCATGTTGAAGGGGGTGGGCCAGTAAACTTTGCAAAAAAAATTGTCCTGAAAGGGATTCCGTGATGCTAGCTGCATGTTTAAAAGGCTACCAAGAAGTGATCCGTGATTCTCTGGCGTAATTTGGCAGGTGGCGAACGAATCTTCATAAGAGGCGTTGTTGGCCAACATGGGCCCCGCGAAAGATAAACATGGAGTTCGCGAAAGTTTCGCGAAAGTAAAATTTTTATTCGCGAAGAATGGCCGTTCCGGGTTAAAGAAATTTTGATCAACAACCATATATATACACATGTATATACATATATCTATGCACATGTATATACATATATCTATTCTATACACATGTAGACATAATATATATATACAGGCATGTCTATACACATGCATACATAGGTACATACATATGTGTATATATATATATATGTATGTACATATCCATATATAGAGATGGATGTTCAATGCAACATCACATGAGAAAAAACTGCGTTTGGTCATGCCCATAGATATATCTACTCTTCCAGCAGACACAGATGCGGACAATAGCAGTCGCCAAAAGCACCATTTCGTTGACCCAGGAAGTGAAAGAAGAAGTGGTCAGCGACGACGAAAAAGAAGAGACGCCTGGCTGGAGACACGATGTAAATCATATTACATCCCTATATAGTAACTATACATCCCTTACTTTCATTGGTGAAACCTGGTGTTTCACCATTGAAGACAGATTGTCAGTGTGTAGTCTCTCTGGTGAGCACTTTTTTCTGTGAAATTCGACCTTGCGCGTCGCTACTTGGACCTAGTTTGCCACATTTTGGCATCATGAATGGCGCTCATTCCATTCCCGGCGCTGGAGATTCATCGGGTAATTCCTGCGGAAGGGACCGGCCTGAGGGCATGCTCCATTGCTGAAAGTGGCGCAGCTGCCAATTCTTCATAGATTTTTTAATCAACTGAACATGACCATCCACTGTCTCATCCACTTTTGATGAGTTGGACTGTCACTTTGATATTTTTTTGGGTGAATTTCACTTCGCAATTTATGGTTGGTGAAGCCACTATCTCTGGGTCCCGTTTCGAAAGGTCCAATCCAAGCTCCAATTGAAGCTCGGAGGCTGGGGTCCTGCAATGGGTACTTGGTGCAGTTCCATTAAGTGATTATAGAACCACAGTTGTTATATCATGTTATATCCCAATTTATGGGATTTTATATGGATTGATTAATGGATTGATTAATGGATTGATTAATGGATTGATTAATGGATTTATTGGTTACGCCCATCTTAACCCCGACTACAGCCCGTTCAGATTTTCGGAGGGATCCCTCCAAGAAGTCCGGCTATCTCCAAGTTTTTGTCAACAAAATTTGTCGCAGAAGTCTCGTTTGAAGTACCATCAGTACCATCCTTTTGGTTGATGCAACCTTGAGCAATCATTGAGCAATCAGACTCCTCAGACCGAATTCCAAGGTAAGCCCATTTACAAGTTGACTTCGCTGTAGCTCACCAACTTGTGCAAGTCAGAATGAGTTCTCCATTCGTTGTGCATCCAGTACACGGAAGTCATTATCAGTTCTTAAGAATTGTTAACCACTATTGACCAACATTAACCACCATTAACCACTTTTTTAGGCCACTTTTTTCCGCACGGAAAACGCCTTTTTCAGGCCACAGCAGCGGCTATGGATGTTGAATCCTATGGTATTCTTGGCAAATGGCTGTGGAGTTACTATAGCATTAATATGGCTTTGTCTGAAATCCACTGGTGAAAAACATATATCATGTTCCGAGAATATTAAAAACAGTTGTTTGGAAGGTATGGCAATTTTCAGACTCACCTATATATTACGTGTTCTCTAGATGCATACAGAATCTATAGTCTATAGTCTCATGTGATCCGGTATGACAGGATAAGAAAGAAAAAGTCATGATCTGACACAACACGATGCAATATGACAAGTCATGACATGACATGACATGACATGATATGATATGATATGATATGTTATAACACAAGATGCCACGGTACAGAAACGATATGCTTCCACATGTTATGATACCACGTGATATGATGCCACATGATATGATATTATATGATCAAAGGACGTTTAGATGTCTAAACCCTGTGATACGGATAGTGCAACTGCATTTGTATGTACTATATGTATTTTGTAAAATGTGATGTGATGTAATGTGAGGTAATGTAGTGCAATATGATGTGATGTGATGTGATGTCATGCAATGTATGTATATGTGTATATATATGTATAGAAATATACACATAATTATCTACCTATATGTATATTCACATGTGTTTGTATATGTTCTCGTACGTACATGTGATTTTCTATTATTGTGGCATCAATACAGTGTTTTGAGTGATGCTCCAGTGAGTCACTTTTGCCAAGAAGATGCAGTAAGGCTTGGCTGCGGCAGCCTAGAACATATTTAGACCAAAACTATTTGCTGGTCATGTGCGGTCATTGATTTTGTGCTGTTGGACATTTTGTGTTTGCTAAAACACACAAAAACATATGAATAGCACATGAACATTATCACGCATCTTCCTACCTTGACGCAGCAGGATCAGATGTTTTATCGTAGAAATGCCACATTGAGGTAGGTAGTTGAGCGGCAGCAGTGCTTCAATGAAATGGGACATGTCCATGTTTTTTGCATCAGGTGGAGAAAATAAGGAACGCACAACTTCCTTTGAAGCGTTTGCTGCTATCAAGCTTCTGACAAGCTGGGTGTTGAAATGAATTGCTTTTGTTGTCCCGTTTAAGCTTTTGACTTGAAACAGATGGGAACAAAACGATTGTTTTTCTGCAGATTGAAGGCATTTCGCTGAAGAATTGCCTCATCCGGCCATAAGTCCAACAATATCATATCAGATTCAGTGCCAAGCAAATGGCACCTGAAAGGCTTTGACACCCAGCCAATCTTAGTGGTGACCCACGCAGCGTTTGACGGAAAACATCCGGCCATGGGATTTTTGACCAGGAAGAACCATGAAAAACGGCGGGTCTAAACCATATACACTCCTTACTCTTGGGGCAGTAGCTGGGGTATTTGTTTCATTCGATGTATCGCACCCTTAGATGCAAAAACCAGGGACCGGGACAGGGGGGTGCATGACCGATGCCTATTTGGATGGTATATCCCAGGTATGGATTTGACAGATTTTGAAAGCATGTGGAGAGTAGTGTCAAGCCGGTGGCGCAGTCGACTGTGTCAAGCCTTGATCGGGATTCATCGACTTTGGAACGTTATATGGATGGTGATATGAATCCCGGGAGGTCCCTTGATTTTTTCAAAACCGTCGCCAGGTGGTCGCAGTCGGAATTTGCGCGAATCTCTTGGGTGATTGCCTTGGCTGATATCGATGTGGATCTGCAGCACTTTTGATCACATACTCTCTGATCATTTTGTTCACCAGCTTAGCGATGAATCGCTCCCTGGTGCGCTCCTGAAATTCCGAGGCCGGACTTCGCCAGAGGTGCCCTGAGAATGTTTCCATTTTAAATGTTTTTTTAAATTATTTTTAATTATTCTATGTATCTACTTAGGAATCTCCAGGATAACTATACAACTTATATATACTTATATTATATAACTATATATATATATATATATATCATATACAATTATATATATATATATATCATATACAATTATATATATATATACAATTATAATATGTATTCACCCAGTCACAGATAGAAACGCTGGATTTTTTTAGACATCGAAATGGACGGGGGGAATCCTCATCGAAACTTCACAAGCTGGAAGCCTCAGCTGCCGAGTAGCCTCGGGATGCCCCACTCTGTGATTTTTCGCAGTGACATGATTTTCCACTATCTGGGGGAGAAGTATCTGCTCAGGTTGATGTCTTTTAGATCCCAGTTGTATGGAAATATATGGTGAATATCTAATTATATGGAAATCTTATGGAAATCATATGGCATATGGAAACCATATGAAGATATATGGAAACATGAGGAACTCATGCTGCACAATTGCACGAACATGATGCTGAAATGTCAACCTGCGACTGTGATTGGGCCTATGGCCCTATGTCGTGGGGTGACGCCTGGACAGCCGGTGGCCAGTTTTTTTTCAAGGCTCGTCCAGAAAAGGAAGCACCATGGAATCGCAAAGATCAGAAACCGCAAAACTGTCGGCCTGGTGTCGTGTCCAAGAAATATCATGAAATATCACCCAACTTGAAGACTTGGAAACTTGGATTCCGGAGAACACATCCAGATGACATCTAACGTGTCGAGATCTCCGCTGCGCCATGCCGATCCCGAAGTGGACCAGAGTTTGGCACTGCGACGACCCGACGGACCTGGAAGCCGTGGTGCAAGGACGGTCCGGGCGATGCTCAACACGTGAATTTATGGATGAGATGAATGAACACCAGCCAGGCTCAGCATCTCGGCAGCCATGGGATCTGCCGGAAGAAAGGGGTAGCCATGGGTAGCCATGTGTTGGCTAAAGGTCCTGGCCGAAAAGGATTTGGGATGGACCAAGAAATATTGGGAAGAATCTTAAATACCCAAACAATTATATAGCATATTATAGCATCTAACACACAGATATTGTATGTTGCCATGGTACACAGAGTTTAGACAAAACTACCCGCCGGTGTCATCAGCTCCATGACTGGAAAATCCCCGCAGAGGATTTTCAGCTATGGAGCTGACCCAGGTGCCCATTGCAACATATATTATAGTTAAATATATCTTTCACATATATACTATATATGTATATGTATACATGTGTGTACGAATATTACATCATACATATATATATATACATATGTATACATACATATGTACTGTATATATATATACATATGTACTGTATATATATATATATGTACTGTATATATATATATGTACTGTATGTATATATATATGTACTGTATATATATATATACACATGTGTATGAATACGACATGATATATTATACTATATATCAACATTTATATAGATATAGGGTGCCCAAGCTGACCGAGGGCGAAGCGCTCCGTTGCATGGAGCGTGATCCCGTGCAGGTGGGCTGGCGTGGTGGGTTGTGGTTTCTCCCGGTCAATTGCGATGGTATAAATGTAGTACATGATTTTTCTATATATATATATATACACATATATACATATAGATTTCCATGAATCTGTGATATCTATATATATATATATAGTATATGATTGTTATGTGTATATATATATATATATATTAGCAGTGATGTATTCTACACATCTTGTCGCAATTCTACCTATGTTCCGCTGCGTTTCGAAACCAGGCGATCAAGGCCCGTTGGCAGTACTTGCCACTTGTCTGAGGAGTGTGCAACGGGAAAGCCATGGAAGACGTGTGGAAAACCTGTGGAAAAGCCATGGACAAGCAAGGCTTCAAGGGAAACCCCATGGAGTTTCAATCCCAAATGCCATGAAATGCCATGAAATGCCATGAAATGCCATGAAATGCCATGAAATGCCATGAAATGCCATGAAATGCCATGAAATGCCATGAAATGCCATGAAATGCCATGAAATGCCATGAAATTGCGGAGTTAGGGACATCTCTAGCTGAGAGGCAGTTAAGGTTACTGATTTTGAAACAGTCAGAGTGCTGCTAGGAGCACAAAGATCCGCTTTTCTGTGGATTGCCAATTGCTAGATGGCGCCATACTTGGACGTGCCTACTCAGTCGTTTATACAGTAAGCCCTCTTTTTTCAGCTACTATTGACCCATGAATCTGAGGGGTTCTTGTTTCTCCGCCGTCCGACCGAGCCCCAACAAGGCATTTTGGCTTGGTTCTGCTATTGCTTGCCGTGGCAGCAGTTTGGTTTCTGCGTTCCAAGGTGCCTTGGCAAACAATGATCTCACCTGACGGGCAGAAGTTTTTAACCCCAACAAATCCATGGGGTTAGCATCATTTTCCCCATTTAATTGGCTATTTAAGGGGTTACACCCTATTTAGTTGTGTATAATATATATATATATCCATCCCCATAATATGACCCATTCTATCTGCCCCATTGATCCCCATTTTGTTGCCATGTTCGCTGGTTGACATACACAGATTTTACTTGATAAGCTCAGCCCCTATCAGATAAAAAATCGGAAGTGGGATTGGGGATATCCAGAGAGATTCCAACAGAGATTCCAACAGAGATTCCAACATTACAAGCATTACCCTCTGGTAAACGTTTACAGTTTGCGAACTTGAAGCCATGGCCATTGTTAAATAGTGGTAATTTACCCATTCAACATGGTGACTTTCCATGGTTTTTTGTATGTTTACCAGGCCGGGTACAGTCGTACTAAAGCCATGGTGATTTCCAGGTGAACAGCGCGAACCTGGCTGTGGATTCTGTGGATTCTGTGGATTTCTATCTGCCCAACCGCGGGCACACAGATTCCAAAGGTGAATGGAGGGCCGCGACTTGGCGTAGGATGTAGGGGTGTTTACCCTCTGGTAATTTAACAGTTAGCTATTGAAAATGGCCATTGAAATAGTGAGTTTTCCCATGAAAAATGGTGGTTTTCCATAGTTATGTTAGTTTACCAGAGGGTAACCAGATGGTGGCTGTGGTACCTTGAAATTTTGAACTTTGAGTGGCTTCGGATGCTGGGAATGGCGAAAGCCATCTTGTTCTGAGTCATTCTGAGTCCCAAAACATTTGGCTTTTTCTGCGCCAAAGCCAACAAACATACCCTCTGGTAAACGTTTACATAACTATGGAAAATCACCATTTTTAATGGGAAAACTCACTATTTCAATGGCCATTTTCAATAGCTAACTGTTAAATTACCAGAGGGTACCCTGAGACCAGCTGATTTTTGAGGTGATCTTTCAGTCTTCCAACCCCCCTTTTTTGCGTCGGCTGAGGACACCTGGGACCACTTTCAGATCCCAGACTGCGACTCGGGGCCACCCCCAGGCAGCAAGGAACTGGTCCACTGGGTGCAAAACGTGCCTGGGCCGCCTGGGCGTCCGCAAAACGTGATGCCTTTTGTGGACACTTTTTCAGGGGTTGGTAACTGTCCCATTTTGGGAATATTGGACATCACCTTATAGTAGCCATTATAGACCATATACCTAATGGTTGGGTGATGTTCAATGGGGACATTTAATGACCCATGTTTTTGGGTGTCTAAGAAAAGGACACTGAAAAAACATCAAAAAAACACCAGGTTGTGGGATGATTCATGTATGATTTCTATGTTCTTGTCATGAAGATTTCGGCAGATTTAACGGTGCTTGAAACCGTGTTTCCAACGAGGTGAAAGAGTGGGTCAATGACACCAAAGGTGGGGGTCGGGAGGAGGCAGCTGCAGTTTTGTTTGAGCGGAAAACCTGCGGTTAAAACCCAATGCTGTCGGCAAACTTAGATTATACACACAACATATATCCCTTTCTAAGTATTGGCTCTCTCTTTTGTTGGGTTTGTCTGGA